TGTCATTTTCTGGGATTTTCAGGCATAATTTCTATTTTTGCCCTTACAGCCCAAAACTTTGTAAAATTATGATTTTACCCTTGGTTTGGCTTAACCTCAAAATTCACCTTATTGAGGCCTCCAACATAATTATTGGCCTACATTCATTTCTATTTCTCATTTTTGGGCCTTAGGATTTCAGTAGAGTCTAACTTTCTCTTTTCTTAGTCCCAAAAAACTTTCCTTTTGCTATTTAGTCTCTGGGAATCTCTCTGTCCTTTCAAAGAACCTCTAGGACCTCTGTCAAAAAAGGTTTAGTAGTCTACCCATTTTAGGCTAATTGTGGTATTTTTAGGTCCAAAATTTAGGATGTGACACTAACTCTATATTATTTTTAATTTTTAATATGGAAGAACTGCCTATGCATGATTCATGTATGCAAATAAAAAAATAAAAAACAATAATAATAATAATAATAATAATAATAATAATAATAATAAAGAAGTAACGTTTGGGTAACGTAAAGTTGATATTGTAGAAGCAAGAGGAAGATTAAAGATTCCATTCGAATCGTTTCTTTTTTAATTGAGAAAAAAGTTTCCATAATTTCTATCTCAAGTTTATTAAGATCAAGACATGCTTTTGAGCTTAAGAAATATTTATAAAAGAACTTACACATCACCAATAACAAAGTTTTTGTATTAGTAATGGGTTAATTTTATATGAATTATGACTCAAATATGCACTAATTAGAACAGTTTTTGTTGGCATGCTTAATTTGAGGGAGATTATTCTATGTTGCTGGCAAGAATTAATACTCTTTGTCCAAACCCCAAAACCAAAAAGTTATGCGGGTAGCAAATCTTATCTACTTTTGCTTTTATTTCACTGAAATGTTTAAATAAAAACAACTATTATATAGCTAGTATCTTAATTGAGTCCTATTTAAAAATCTTCAAGTCTAAACAACAAAGGCAAATCTCTCAATGTTTGAAGTTCAAATATGGCTAACTAACAAGTGGTTGGTTAAGATGGTAGTGGTTTCACTCCATAAAAAAGAGAACACAAATTTAAATACTAAAAAACATACTTGTTAGAGGGGGTGCAAATCCTTCAGTACACTCGAGTCTCGACTTAATTAGTTGGTCCCTTCAGTACGCTCAAATCTCAACTTGATCAGTTGGTTGTGCGGATAAAAAAACCGGGATAGAAAAGCTCAACGTCTAAATATATATTGTGATGGATACCAATAGTTTAACCAAAAATGAAAGTTCAAACATACATAAAGTCCTTGTTACTTTTGGAATCCTAACTTTTCAATTATAATTTATGAAATATGAGGTAAGCATGTAAGAAGAGTTTTGTTTCGATTTATATGAAACATGCTTATAAATAGTTATGAATGTGATTCCAAAAAGGCCATCAAATGACTTATAAGCAAATTTTCAATTGTGATTTATGGAATACATAGTAACTATATTAGATAAGTTTTGTTTCGACTTATATGAAATATACTTATAAGTGCTTTTGAATGTGATTTCAAATTAACACGCCAGAAATGTTTTAAAAATTAAGGTTATATGGATTGGTGGTTGACACTTCTGTGCAATTTTTTTGTGTGTGGCTAAAATCGTTTTGTCAATTCCTCACTACTATCTTATTAATGGCGAAAAATAGAATCGTTATCTTCCTTGTAATTATTATAATTATTACGAACATGCTAACGCTTTCTATAAGACAGAAATGGAGTTTAAAGTAACAACAAATGAGACTTATTAACTAAATTAAAATTACATCGAAGGGGAGATATGTAGTGAGGGTAGATTTTACCCCAAAAAAAAAAAACAAAAGAAAGTTGAAAAAGGGGTGTTACTTAGGGCATGGCAAGTGATGATTGTAGGGCTCGGAAGCTTCCAAGGAGGGCGCAAAAAAAAAAAAAAAAGAAGCAAATCTATTGAATAAAGAGATAGTGGAAATACCCATCACCATATATATGTAAGGCTTGAGCATGGTCGAGGTTTCTTTTGGGCATTTGATACCATAATGGAGACACAGATTACCCCACAAAAGCTTTGCTCTCTACTGCTTCATCACAATCCTGCTGATTCCTACGCATTCTCATTTTCTCAAAGCTTTTTTCATGGAAAACGCTATATATATTTCTTGGACCACGTTAGCTGTATGGCAAACCATTTGAGGCATTCATCAGAAAGCAAAGTTATGGCATCGGATGGCTTTAATAAATATATATGTGTAGTTGCTAGCAGTCTCGAAAGCTACTGAAGAGAATGTGAGGAGGAAAATAATGGGATATACATATATACACACACACACACGCACTAAGGGATGAGAGTATATAGTTTGACATATCAGAAGATATTCGAAGAAAAGTGAAAGTGGGATCCAGTTGATGAAAAAGCATACAAGAAAAGGGAAAGCAATCGATATTGGTGAGCTAGCTCTCTCCCTCTCTCTATGTGATTAAAAAAAGAGATAGAGATTGTGATCTATATAATGACCAAGAAGATCTTTCAATCATACATGCATCCCCACAGTGGGTTGTTTTTTTCCTTAGTCTCTAGAAAGTGAAAAGTAGAAAGTGAGGAGCTTATCACACTACTTTTACATATAGCATTTTCTTCTTTTCTTCTTTTTTTTTCCTTTCCGTTGTCACTTATTTGTCAAACACAGGTAGATATCAGACCATTAATATTTCTTGTTGTGTCTTTATTAATGAATAAGAATCATTGCTTATATTCCAAAGCTCATATGTACATAGTACTACATAATTTGTTCGAAATGTCCATCAATATTATTTAGAAGGGAAATTAATTCTTTAATCTTTATAGTTTTATTTTTTTATTAATCATATTTTCGTTGTTTTTTCTTTTTGTTAGATCCTTACAATTTTCTCAAACATATGCATTATTCTCTATACTCATGTAATCTGTTAATTATGACTTGTATGGATGTTGGCACCATGACATATAGTTATCATAGAATACAAAATAAAATATGGGTTTCTAAAAAATAAAAAATTACTACATCAGGTTCTAAATATAAGAGCTAAACAAAAAATTTACTTTGATCCTAAATATAAAATGTCAATCATTTTGCCTTCTAAATTTATAATTTGTTTACTCAAAATATCCTTATTGATCACATATATTAAGGGCCTCTCAATTAATAGATAGTTTATAAAGCACATGATTAAATAGAGTAGTTTGAAAAAATCAAGAAATTAATGTTTATTATAAATAACTAATTTATTTATTTGTTTAATCTTAGCATCTTCTACATTAAGAATCAAAGGTAATATTATGCTCATAAACGTCTTCTTGCATCTATATACAATTTATAATATGGCAGATATGAAGTAAAACCATGTCATCAATTATGAACTCTGTTTCTCTTACAAACTACCAAGTTATAAATATAAGGACCAATAGCTATAACTGGAAAAATGAAAAGTACTCAAATAAAAAAAATAAAAACTTAATCAAAAATTAGATGAAACTATAAATTCCTGCGTATCTTAATTTTTCCAATTTAGAATTTAATTCTTTGACTTCCCATGGAACTAAATTAAGAAGAATTGCAGAAGCTTTTAGGACAGCCTATATACCAAGAGGATCTTCAGCCTTTTGGATTATTCCCCATTAATAAAGCCGTGAAGTTGTTAACATACTCTCAATAGAAAACCTATATATGCCTAATGTGGCATACCACACTACTCTACTGGGAGTACAAATTTGAAGTTTGACCATTAGTCAATAACCCTTAGAAACAAAATACTTATAATTCATACAGTATTTAATCATGCATACAAAAGTTAGGGCATGACAATATGAAGAACTGATAATTCTAATGTAAGTCTCCTTTCGAGGATGTTATTCATCTAAAGATATAGCCACAATTTATCAATAATATGTGTGTATACCCACAAGTCCCAGGTGGCTTTTTAAATAAATTTGTATATACAATATTAACTAACTATATTTTTTTTTTGCCAGACTAAAGTCAATCAACATGTTCTCAGTTAATTACTCCTTATCTTATAATTAAAATCAAAAATAAAATGTTATAGTGTTAAGCACGGGTAACGTATTGAAGATCTGCATTTCAAGTATTGCGGTATTTAACTAATATATAGTGTACGCCATTGCACTTGATACCATATTTATCTTACTTTAATAAATGTAATGATTGTACAATAGCATGCCAAATGCTTGCTAAATTTTAATCTTGTAATTAACAACCAATCATAAAGTATGAGTTCTTACGATCATTTCAGTAAGACTGCTCACCTTCTCAACATTTTCTGTTTTCTAATTTGTAAGCCAAACAACTCTTTTAATTCTGTGCACGATGAGATAACTTATTTGTATAGTCATTAATAATTCAGATTAATCGTATTAAACAAGTAACAACGCACTCATACCTGATGATGCAGGCTTCATTACTAAAAACTCTTTCTTCTAGCCAAAAAAAAAAATTTCTCTTCCTTTCCTCTCCCTTTTTTTTCTTTTTGCCTTTTGTTCGAATACTAACGCTATAGAGAGAGAGAGAGAGAGAGCGAGCGAGAAAAAGGAGCAAAGAATACAGGCGGGGGAGCAAAGAAGAGGGCGCGAGGGTGTGTGGAAGCATAAAGAAGATATTTAATTGAAGATTCACCCAACTTAATTAATTGAAAGAACAGAATCAATCATGTAACAAAACAATGCCACAACATCATCTTCACTTTCAAGACGTACCAATGCAAAACTGAAAAAACTGTTCCTTGATTTGATTGGAAGAGAAAACCTGTGTCACACCAGACAATCCACAGTAGCCGCCATTTCTTCCTCCAACGACAATCTCCTTTTTGATCCCCTCACTTTTTAAAATCATCCGAATCCAAAATCACCAAATGCAAAGAATATTAATCTCCCCACTTCCACTTTGATTCCGAATCTCCCACCCCAATATGCCATTTACGCGACATCCGTTAAACAATGAAGTATTTAATATATCGTTTTCAATCACATCAACCCTCCACCGGCGGCACCTGACAGCGACGACTGCAACTGCAACAGGTGGTGGTAGCAGTCCGCCGCCGTCGGTCTCTGCTCGGCGTTTTGTTCCATGCACCGATTCTGAAGTTCTCTCAGCATCTTAGGCACGCCGGACAGCCCGCTTGTCTTTATCAGATACCCCACTCCCCACACGTCCACCTTCACTGTGTGCAACCCCCTCCCCATCTCCGGCGCATGTCTCCCACGCGCCGCCTCCCCACCCGCCACCATGTAAGGATACAGCTGCGGTGCTCCCACCGCCTCGTCGAACCCACACACGAACCACTCGTTCTCTCTATCACACCTCCTCATCACCTTGTCCCAACCCAAGTCTCTATGCATAAACGACAAGTCGTGTAACGCGACCAAAGCCTTTGTCACGTACTTGAGAGCCTCCACTAGCTGTTCGCAATTCTCAGGCTTCATCTTGCACCCTCTTGGTTTAAACACCAAGCTCAGGTCTTTCTCGCACGACCTGAATATGAACTCAGCATGTGGGATTCGATGGTCCAAGATCTCGTAAATTTCTTTCACCGCAACCCATTTTCTCTTACTCTGAAATATTCTCGTGCATGTAATTGGAGTCATCTCTATTAAATTCCCATTTCCCAGATCAACCCTTTCAAAATCACTGTAAGCGAACAACTTATAGTTCCCACAACTGTTCATATGGAAGCATCTTTCAGCTAACAAAGGAAGTAACAAACCAATTCTGTAGCAAGGCACTAAGGCTTTGATTCTCTCTGTGGGTGATGATAGGTCAAGAGTGTACAAATCGGTACGGGTGATTCGGTCTTGTGATCTACTCAGTGCACAGAATGTTACCACGTGACCAACAGCGTAATATCCGAGGATGTAAGGGAGATCAAGATATGTCCACAAGAGTTTCTCAGCTATCGTTGATGATGGATCGAGTTGACCTTCTTTAACTTGGTCAGTTTCTTCCCCTCTCCACAAGCAATAATTTCTGACGAAACCAGTCACATTAGGCCATTGATCTTGCAATAATAACTCAGTGGAATTACCTAAAGAAGTGGGTTTTCTGGTGACAAGCATTTCTAGGGGACAGAACTTGGAGACGACCCTATTAATGCAATCGTCCCAGAGGGAAATGAGAGATTCCCGGGTGGATGAAGTGGCGTGAGTGAGACTAGGGTTGGGACGAATGATTGGACTTACGATGTCGTACATGATGGCCCTACAATCCAACGGTTCAGATGAAGCTGTGAAGAATAGTTCCTTCCCGAGAGGCAAGTCCTTGTACACATCTTTCCTCAAAGGAAAGCGAAGTTCTTCCATTGGAGGCTCCTGGACATGCCACGACAGCTCATACAACGTTGGGAGTGATTGTGGTGAGACACGTAAGCATCCCATGTAGTACTCAGTTGGGTCCTGAAATTCCCATGGAGGCGTTGCTGCACCACAAAACTACAGACATTAATGCTCCGAGATGTTTTTCTTTTAATTTATTTTTCGGAAAAAAAAAAAAGAGAGAGAGAGACTTGGTTAATACTAGGTAGCTTACATCTTATCAAGGGTTCGGAGTAAGGGGGCTGAACTCTCTCAGGAAAACCTGTTAAAAGAGAACAAGTTAAGGCTGGATTCCTAGAACATGTGAAAGAGGAAAAACCCGTTTTGTTTGGGAGAATGTACCAGAAGCAGAAGCAGAGGCTGAGGGAGAATACTTTCTTCTGCCAAAGACTTTGACTTGTTGTCCGGAAACGAATCTATCAACAGAGAAACCTTTTAAGGGACCATCTTCGAAACACTCCATGGTGCAAAGCACCATTGAATCGTCGAAGAAAGATAGCTCATCTGCCTTCAGAAAGCTTGAATTTTGGAGCCTCACTCGACCTCTATGAAGTTCACCTTCTTCCGCCCACAAGCTCACTGACTCCTCCCATGTCATTCTTATCTTCCCGATTCGTCGGAGCTCCTTTGAAGAAGAAGAAGAAGCCAATGAAGGGCCTGCAATTTCCAATGGAGGCTCCAACCCTAATATCATCCCTCTGGGCCCATGAAATAATGCTTCGCCGCCACTTGTCATCCCCAGCTGCTTCGTTCTAGCTGTTACAATCACCAGTAGGATAGTTTGTTAATTAAAAATCCTGCGACTATTTTCGTTTCAGCATTCCCAAACAGTAATTACAAAGTAATATGCTTTCCACCCTAGATATGTATATGTTCGACTGAATTAGAAGCATGAAATTAATCAAGTGCCCAATTACATTAGACAAGTGCAGTAGGAATAATACTTCAAAAGATATTAATTTCTACTTCTTTTCATGCTTTTTATGGCGAACCTGAGAGTGGGAGTTCATCTTCTTTAAACGGCGGAGGTGTCGGCAGAGCTCTATGTCTAGAATCATCCCCGGCAACAATGGAGGAAGAAGCAGCGGCACCTCTGGCGTGAGAAGTTCTCATTCTGGAACCCATGAATTGAGAGAGCTCTTCAAAAACCTCTTCATCGAAAGAAGCAGGAAGCCTATGGACCTTCCTCTCATAAGGAGAGAGTCTAAAATAGCTTTTCCCAACATGTTGTCTCTCACCACCTCTCTCCCATTCATACACTTTCCTAAATTCTCCAAGCATGTTATCCCATTTAGTCCCCGCCGTTTTGGCATCTCTATTCACCCCATGCCTCTGCAGAAACTCTGCCACTTCCCTATCTTTATCAGCCCTAGTTTTGCCTCTTGTAGCCTGAACACCACTTTCCACATGCTCTGTTCTGCTGGAAGATGACCCTCCCAACTCGGACCCACCACCTTGGTACTGGACCCTCCAAGCTCTCGCCAGCCACAACATCTCGTGCGGTTTCCAAACCGGGCTCACGTACTTCCCTTTCCTGAATTGATGGTGAATTTGCAGCTCCCCCTCCGACTTGCTCCCCTCCGGTCCGGTGGCCGGAGAAAGAGAAGACGGCACAGGAGGAGATTGGGTGGGATCGGACGAGGCAGTGTCTGATGAGGAAGCAGCAGACGTACGTGGTTGGGTTTGAGGTTGAAGCTGAGAGGGGGAAGGACTTGATTCTGCAGGAGGGAGTAGAGGGATTTGCTGAGAGGAAGGAGAAGGGAGAAGCTTCCATTGGCCACTGGTGTATCTGGTTCTTTTGGGATTAGTGGAAGAGTCGAAGGGGGAAGAAACAGTTGCACCAGGGGAGACATAGAGAGGAGTGGAGATTATAGGAGAAGCAACAACGACCGTGTCGCAGGCTGGGGCTGATGATGATGATGATGAAGATGATGATGAATTGGCCTGGCCGGCTGATCCGAAGATTCCTCCACGAGAGGAGAAGATGAAATCTGCTGTTGCGGGAGTTGTGTCTGAGACTGTTGCGCCTTCGTCTTGGCGGCGTCTCCTTGGTCACTCATCTCACACAAAATGGGCCCGATCGAGAATTAAAAAAGAGAAATAAAGAGAGAGTATAGTGATGAGGGCGGGAGAGAAAGGAGATTTGTGTTAGGCATGAACAGGAAGCATCGGCATGGAACTAGCTAGTTTGGCTGAGGAAGTGGCCAATTATCAAAAGCAGCTCAAAGGGAAAGTGAGGAGAGAGAGAGTGGGAAGTGGTGGAGGCGAGGGAGACGGCTCAGCAAGTTTAAGGAGTTAATTAATGGAGGCAGAGTTGTACTATTGAAGGGTGACACTCATCCAGTGTTAAATATACGAGTTATAAGGTTTATATTTATTTTAATTTTCAGGTCAAAAAATTATTTATTTTAATTTTAAGGCCGAAAAAATATTTATTAGACATATTAAGAAAATTTTATCAAAACTGATTACAATAGATATAATTAGATAATTAACTTGATGAGTGTTTTTAATCTATATCAGTTATATAACTTTTAATAATAAAATATTAGACAATATGAGGAGGAGTAAGAAAGGGAGGGGGAGAGAGATATGGAGGGGGGGAATGATTAGGGAGGGTGATGAGGCATGATGATGATTGTACTGAGCTCTGAGAAACGCGGCTGTAAGAATTTGTAACA